TGGCTTTGAAGCATGATGGGACAATGGCTTGCTCCAAAGAGGTGTTAAAGATGTCTGTAAATACTTTGTTTGCAGCCAATATGTACTGTATTTCCCGTGAAAAACCACGATATAGCGAAACTTCCACGGAACAGATTTTTAAAAAATTGCGATGTACTGTATAGAGAGGGAACACCGTGCTCCAAAACCAGTAGGCAGTAGCACATCACAAAAACATCACTGCATTGACTCCCCCGTGCATTTCAGGATTGATTTTAAGATTTTGTTAATGTACAGTAAAGCACTGTTTGCCCTTGTGTATATACATGTTTATGCATATATGTATGTATATGTGTTTATGTGTGTGTGTGTGTGTGAGAGAGTAAAAAAAAGAAAAGAAAAGAAACTAATGCCAAACATTTAGGGACTACTACAAACAACTAATGTATTCAATTTATTGAAGAGTCACATGATCTAGTTCAGTTCAGTTCAGTCCAGAGCGGAGGGGCTGTGGGTATGCATGTAGTTGTGATTCATAAGCCACATTTCAGCTGCAGCCAAGTTCACTTTGACTCCGACTGGAGACCTGAACAGAAGAAGTAGAAGAGGAAGAAGAAGGAGAGAAAAGAGCAAGAAATGTTGATCCATCTACTGGTGCTGGTGATCACCGTCAGCTTCTCCTGTGCAGATAGTAAGGCATACCCTATGACAAGTGCATTTACTTTTGCTTACATTTCCCATTATCTTATTGATTTAATATATATTTTTAGTGTTTGTTTATTCTGTGTTTTCTGGATGTTTTCTTTGTGAACTTATTGCATAGTCATTTTATTTGAGCTTCTTTACCCATATGCAAGTTGGCTATTTCCCTAACCTTTAAACCACTCACCAGGAATAGAGACAAAGAAAATGCTTTACCGTATATATTTACTGACCATTTTAATTGTATTTGTTGAACATAAACAAATTTAGATTTTCAAACCTGCAACAAAGTATAACGTTTTATTTGTGTGTCTTTCATAAACGCCGAATCTTTCTTTTTTTTTTTTTTTTTTGCCTATAAGACTTCCTCAATGAACAACGAAAGAAAGATTTCTGCTGATCGGGGTTGCAAACTTGCTGAACATGACGTTTGTGCTTCCTCTCCAAAAATGATTGCGTGTGTTTGTGTTCTGTGTTATGATGATTGTTTTTTTCCAATACTCTTTCCTCAGCATAAAATGTGCACAGTGTGAGTATATTTAAATATATTCTTACATGTATATATATAATATATATATACATATATAAATATGTGTATATATACATATATATTTGCGAACAAGATAGGCGTATTTCAAATATAGTTTCACACTGTGTGCATATCAAAAACTCATGTGAAAGAATAAACAGTAATTAATTCAAAATAAAGAGACGTGGTTATCAGGCCAGGTGCTTCGATAGCAGTGTGTAATTTGAGCAGGCCTATGAAGAAGAAGACAAGAACATGAGGTTTTGGAGGTGTTTGTTCACGTACCTGGTGAAGGCCAGACTTCCTGTCACCCCCGGCTTTGGATGTCAGAAGGAGCTGGTGCTGTATGTATATTAATGTTATGTAATAGTTTTCGTATTGCATATACTGTATGTAGATGATATTGTCCTAATAGAAACAGGCTCTAGGACACCGATGACGTTGAAAACCACTGTAACACGTGCAGGATGTATGATATTGTCCTAATAGAAACAGGCTCGAGGACACCGATGACATTGAAAACCACTGTAACACGTGCAGGATGTGGTCAAGATAAAACATATATTTTTTTTTACATCAGCCATTTTCTTCCCACAGGCGATCCTGCTGATGCCATGACAATGGGTCCTGACCAACTGCAGGACAATCAGCCTAAGCACAGTTCCGTCCCCAGTCTGTTGGACGGTTCTGTTGATGACCAGTGGAGAACACAAGTCCAGCACCTCCTGACTGAATTAGTCCAGGTCCAGACAAAACTTGCTAAAAACCAAGAGGAGGAGTTAAAACTGCTCAACATACTGACCACTCAGGTGAGTTTTGATTTTCGTTTTATTTGTATAGTCCAAATTCACAAACCACGTTTTCATCAGTGGACTTTACTGTTTTACATTTTAATTTAGATTGTATATTCCAAATTCACAAACCACGTTTTCATCAACGGACTTTACAGTTTTACATTTTATTTAGATTAGGCATTATTTAGATTTAGACTTCTGCCATTACCCACTAATGCCCACGTTTCCCCAATAGATGGCCTTTATGCATGACTTTTACATGTCATTTATCTTAGTTCACACAAACGCTCCGTCTATCTGCTCCATATATACAATTGTCCTGTTCAATTTTAGGACAATTGTGGCCCATGAGTCAAAACGTGTGCCCACACCTGATTTAGACTATTGTCCTAAAAATGCAAATAACAGGGTAAAAAATGTAGGGATATATAAGTAGTTTGTGTTATTTTTAGTTTATATAAACAATATGAAGGAAAGAATAGTTGGTTTGACAAATATTATTGAAAATCCAATTGAATTCAATTAAACCACTGGCAAAAGTGGGGATACAAAAATCACAGATGTTGTTATTCAATGCAACAGAGAAAGCATTTTTTGGGATTTTTAGTGTTTAATATAATTCTATTTTATCTAAGATTAAGTCGAAAGTCGCAGGTTATCATCAGTTCAGTTGCGTGATGTCTACATAACAATGGAAGTTGATATTATACTTAAGAATAACATTACCTTATGGGAGCATGTATACAATGAATTATATTGGACCAAGTACTAAACCTTGGGGAACTACTTGGGAAAACATTGTTGACATATGGAAACTTGAGTCTTTCATATGAATTAGTTAATTTTAAGCGCAGTACATTTTAATCTTTGAATTTTTTTTTTTTATATTTCCACTAAAGGGTACCCAGCAGATCGAGGAACTACAGACTATTTCTCGTCACCAGGCTTTACTTATCGAAAACCACCAGGCCTTGTTGCTGCAGACCTCTCGTATTGCCACACATGTCCATGATGTCTTCAGAAAAGATACTGTTGGCTAGTGACATGACTTTGACTCTTTGTTTGCTAACTAATTGCTTCCCCTCTCTAACGGCGTCAATCGCACTACGCCACCAAACAGACAGCTAAACATATAACGGCCAGTCAAATATTCTGTGGATTGAAAGCCTATTATATCATTAAACAGAAGGACTATAACATCCTCTCTGTTGAGCTCTAACCAGTCACACTGTCTCCCTCTGTTGTGATCATTAAGAACTGCATTTAGGTTAAAGACTTATTAACAACATTATTGAATAAAAAATATGATTTGTGGGACATTAGTGATTGGCACAATTGATACATTTTAACTGCTAACCTACTGTAATTTCCAGACTATTGAGTCCATCTGAATATAAGCCAGAGCCACTAAATTTAAAAAGAAAAAAATAATTGTAGATATATAGGCCGCACTTCTCTATAAGCCGCAGGTGTCCACGTTGTAACATGGGATATTTACACAGAAAGATGTTACACGTCAGCTCATTCCTG